AGAGAGAGAGAGAGAGAGAGAGAGAGAGAGAGAGAGAGAGAGAGAGAGAGGATGGGCCGGGTGTGAACGGGGTGCATGGCACGGTCGGTGGCTTTTCCTGTACTGACCAAGTGGGGTCGTTTTCCAACCCGAACCGAGTCCTGCCAGAAGCCACAAACGGGAGGGCCTGCTACTGTTACCTGCTCCCAGGCCAGGCCAGGCCCGGCCATGGGAGAAAGAGCGGTACCACTAGCCCAGGCCACCTCCTGTTTTTGCCAATTACTGAACCGGTAGGCCGTCGAACGTGTAGTTTACTGTTCTTCTTGCAGTTTCTAACTGGTCTTGGCCCAATCTTGCAGTCGGCTGTTATTTCTGCGAGTTCTGAATTGTGCAGCGGTCACAGGCGCAGTTGTCTCAAAAATAAAAGAAGAAGTCCGAAGAACTGCATACTGCATTCAAAGAGTGGAAAGAAAGGTTTCCATGTATAGAGTAAGGAGGAAGGTTTTAATGTGCTCTTCATGTTTGTCTTGTATGTTCCTATCTTTTGTTTTGTAAAGCGCACTATCTTAGAAGAAGAAGAGGGAAAAAAAAAAAAAAAAGGAGAAGGGAGATGTGACAATATATTTGTAGAAGTGCGAGTGCGAAGATGCTTGTGGTAATGCCCATCACAGTCATCACTTGAATAAAAGTCAACAGGGGAACTCAGTCGGGGTATGCAGCAGTGATAAAGTGTGAGGCAGAATGAGCCTCTGCTTTCTTTGGGGCTAATGAATTTTTGCACCTTGTGTGTGGTGTCTGCTTTTCTGTGCATTTGCAGGGGACATCACGGGAAGATGACGCCATTTTCACCTGTTGGAAGTAATAAGGTGAGACACACAATCCACCCAGCCCATGTGTCATGTGCATGTGTGTGAATCGTACGCGCATGTGAGCGTCAACAACAAGCAGGTCAAGAGTTGGGAGTCTTGAATGAATCAAATACATAGATTTGATAAGAAGATGGTTAGGGGCAACCACTTCAAACCGCCACCACTTCCGAGGCCCTTCTCTGCGATGCTGGAAACGCGCTGTTTGCCCCTAGCTAACACATTAAGCACTCCGCCTGGGGAGAAGGGTCGCGAGGCTGAAACGCAAAGAAATTGACGGGGGGCCTGCACCTAGCAGTGGAGGATGTGGTTTTTGATGGGACACAACACTACGCGCAAAATCTTACCCACCTGTGACTATGTTGACATATGAAAGATTCTGAAAGTCCTCGTAAGAGTGGGAGCAGTGTCCTTTTGGCTGGCGCCGCCAGCCATATTGCTCTGGTACCCAGGCCGCGAAAAACGCGGCGCGTTAAACCACCAGTATGGCCTAGCTATCGGCCGTGGAAAACAATAGAGTAGAAACCTAGGCTACCAGAGAGGCCCGGGGCCACTTGCCCGGCCGGGCCCAAAAAAAAAAAAAAGGTATTTTTTTAACTTTATTTTTTATTTTAAAAATGGTAAATAATTTCGATGTGACCCTGAGGCAAAAGTTGTTCAGTTTATTTTTCTGCATAACATAGTAGTTTTTTTTTCCAATTTTTTATTTTTTTATTTTTTATTTTTATTTTTTTGCTATGACCTTCCCTGGTCCGTGCACGGCCGGGCCGGCCGGGAAAATAGGGTGACCCGGGCGGCCCGGCTGGTAGCCTAGGTAGAAACGTTTCTAGTCGGATGAATTTGGGCGCTCCTGTAGTGGCCCGTACATTTCTTAAAATGGTGGCTTCTTGTTAACGGGCACGGTGTGAGGAAGTACTGGTGGTTTTAACTCCCTGGACCTGAAACAAATAGCAGGGCCAAGTACTGGGGGGTTGAAGCCCGCCGGTTCCAAGGACGAGCCTGCATGCACGAACTCACAAAAAACTACCCCCTGGGCCTGACCAGCCTAAAATGGCTCACTCCTCCCAGGTCACAACGTGCTACACATTTCCAGAATCTCAAGCCCTTCCACCCATCATCTCAAAGATTCGCATGTACACACTTGAATGAGATGAGATTACTTTTTTTTTTTTTTTTTTTTTTTTGAGATGAGGTTACACTTGATCTCAGCTCACA